AAAAAATGAAAGGGTATAATAGCAGTGCATCTAGGAAACATACGAAAGCCCAGCAAGAACAACAAACAAACAAACAAACAAATAATAAACCCTCCTCCAACCCCCCAAACCAAAAAAACAGCAAACACTTCAGTGTCATCTCAAATGGAAAATGTGGGGTCCATCCAAGAACACCATTTAGGAGTCATCTTTGCCCTGTTGGACTGCATATATTCTGTGCTTCCCCTCCTGTAAGTGTAGGAATTAAGTCATTCTGATCGGGGAGGCAATTTCTTTAACCCTAGTACTCTGGTTGCCAAAAACTGAATTTCCTCTTAGAAACTGGAAAAAGCTTATAGATGAAAATCTTACAGTTTTAAAATGTTTTCTCATTTAAAATGAGTGGACTAGCTCATATTTGGAACTCTCTGGGTGGGAAAAAGGAACTTCCTCAGATTTAAAATTTGTAACAGAAGCATTTTAAAAAATTCTTCAATCTACATCTTAAAAATAAGAAAGTGAAGTTCTCAGAGTTTTAGTTTATTTATCAAAGTCATCTATCAAGAATGAGAGCAACTGAGGCAACAAACTTAGATTTTTCTGCTCCTAAAATCCATGCTTACTTTTAACACCAGAGAATTGCTATCTTTATGCTATGGATGAAGAAACTAATTCTGAGTTAGGTTAGCTGTGCACGATTATACTTCTGATTAGTACCAGAGTGCAGGTCAAAAATTTTAGCCCAATTCTTTTCCTCATGACGCTACATTGCTTTCCTATTTGGATAATGTATTTTGTGAAGCTCTTGAGATATAAACTTGAATAAAGTAATGTCTTAGTTACTTTTCTCATTGCTCAGACAAAATATGCAACACCCAAAGTTAAAGGAGAAAAGGTTTATTTTTTGGCCAACAGTTTGTAGAGGTTTCAGTCCATAATTAGCTGGCTCCAAGGCAGGGTAGCATGGCAGAGGAGTATCACAGAGAAGAAACAGTTCATGGCAAGAAGATGGCAACAAAAGCAGCAATCAACACACAACAAGGGACAATCTCAGCAGCTCTTTCTGTCCCTTGTAGCTTATCTAAGCTACCTTTAGCAGTCACATCTTTAATCCTAGCATTGCACTGGTGAATCAATCCCAGCATCACATCCTTGATCCCAGAAGCACACACCCATATCCAGCCACCTCCAAAAAGCCTTACCCATAACTGCATGAGGCCCTGGGGGGGGGACACCTACATACAAGCCATAACAGGTAATTGTGGAGGAGATATGCTGGCATTGAGGAAATAAGTATGTTAAGTCCATAACATCAGAGACAGATTCTTAGTTTTTTAATTGGAGATCTCATTTTAAGAGGTTGTAGCTTAAAACTTTTTTAAAAAGTAAATCATTGGACTATGAAGGTAACAATCATTTGTAAGAATAAAAACTACATAAGAATGCCCCTTTTTATTTCCTGTGCTGTATTTTCTGAGCATTAGCACACACATCAGACCAGGCAGCTTCTTTGCCTCACACCACTCAATCATTCTGTGTTGGCTATAAATTAAACATGGTCACTTCTCTGAATTCTGCATCAACATTCTGCAGCCAATATGCCAAAGGTGACTGGAAAGACAATTAAGTGGCAGACGGGGGCGGGGGGAGGGTCCTGCTCCAGTCGCATGGCACACAAACTACAAAACAGATGGCTTGTGCTGGTTTCCCTTCAGTCTCCTCCCATTCCTCCCACTGTTCTCATGGGAAGCTGGGCTCTCCTGTCATACTTGAACACTACAATCATTCCTAAGCAACTCCTCCAAAACAACTCTTCCTCTCCTCCAAGCAACATTATTTTCTTTGCTCTGGAAATAGGTAAACATTTTTCTTCTTTTTAAGGAAAATTGTGGTTAATTTCCGACTTAGGAAAGAATGTTTCTTTCTACAGAAAGATGTCAGTTAAAAATATAGAAATATCAAATTAAGTAATGCCCATTTTACAGCCCCTAATGACAAAGTGGGCTCTAAAACCATTAAGTAAAATGTTTTTGAGAAGCAGTATGTTCTTAAAGTGTCAAAGTAACACCTCATAGGTTTCTTATGTCTTCATAGTGGAGACATTTGGCCATCGCTATCTAACCAAGAGATGAAATTTTGTGTCTTAATAGTGGGAAACCAATACTATGTGTCCTAAATGTGTTGTAGTGTGAGGTATAATGGCATGCACAAAGTATTCTTGTTAAAACACACTGTACTTGAGTTTAATTAAACATTTAAATCCAACTTTCAGTTTACAAGAAATTCAAGAAACAGAAAACAAATTAACTGCCCCAGCAAGAGAAAAATCACACAAATCTTGAAAGTGACTCAATCTGTGAAGTAATTGGTTTAAATTCTCTTACAATCAATGTCACTAAAGTAAACACACCAGGAGAATTTGTTCTAAATCAAAAGGAGCAATAACTGACTGGTGCCTGGTTAAATACAACTCCCAGACTATACACAGTGTCTTTGAGACAAAAGTAGAAATGTGAATGTGGACAAGGATTAGTCATTGCCAGGGAGTTGTTAATCTGATTTTGTGCACCAATTACCAATATCATCTCAGCGTCAAGTCCTTTTTAGTATTCCTTGGCAGCAAGAAATACTTGGATTGGATTCTGTGAGCTTTTCTCCTGGGCAGCATGCGTGATGCTAAATTTTGTCAATAGAGGGCGCAGGAGGGACATTGCAGGCAGAAGGGCTTCTATTTGGGAAAGTTGTGGTTTTCTTTTAAGCTCCCCTGTCCCGTGGTTGAAAGTGTATGTGAGTCTGGGGACATCTGATGGTACACTGCCTTAGCAGCATGCCCAGAGGGCACAGTTTTTGCAGGCCTAGCTCACACTGCGTGTCCACTGTACTGTGACTCCTGACTATGACACTGCTCTATACCAAGTGCCTGCAAAGAAGTTGTGATCTCTGCACTCTTTTCCTGCAGCTTTGGATTCTGGAGCCCCTGGAAGGTTGTTTTCCATTTGCCAGCTAACTGCAGACTAGACTGATCTGAATTGCAAGAAATTTCTTCACTGTTCATTGATTGCAACCATACCTTTTCCATGAGTTTGGATGCCAGCTGTGTTTGACCCTTTTTCCAATATGGTTATTTCCTGGAGACCTTCCTTCTGCCCTAGTGTCCTCATTAGAGTTCTCTTTACATGGTCATGTTTGCTCTCCTATTGTATCTTTATAATTTTTATATTAAATTTCTCCCATTAAGTAACTGGATGCTTTCTTCCTCTTGATTAGAGCTGGATAGATATAGTATGATGATGGTATTGTTATCATGTAGGAAGTTCTTTTAGAGAGTCATGCTGTCATATTTAGGAGTGAAGCATCTAGCTGTGCACAACTTATTTCATATATATATGTATATGATATGTCTCTATGTGTACATATATGTGTACATAAAGCAAATCTAGTGACATTCACAATTTTAGCAATTAGTCTAGTAAGAAAGTGTATGTATGCTTACAATATTCATTCTTTCAACTTTCATATCTAACTAAAGTTTTTATAATTAAAAGCTGAAGGGAAGTCCTTCCCCTTGGTATCCTTGCTTGGTGGGAAGAGGGGAGAAAACTCTGATCAGAATAATCCATTCTCTGCAGGAGTCGTTGGAAGACTCAGCCTAGGTTCCTGACCCTGGCTTTGACCCAGAGTGGCCTGGGAGGCTTTAAAATGGTAGACACTCAAGGCCCCTACCAAGTTCTGTGAATCAGAATCCCTAAGGTTTGTTATTTGAAGAATTATAATTCTAAAGGAGAAACTTATTGAGAATTAGGGTGAGGGTGGAGTGCATAGCTAACTTCTAGAACATTTTGCAAATTACATTTGCTGGTTCCTAGCTAAATATTTTGATACATTTTCTTAAGGAGGCATGTTGGAATTTAAGGAAAGGATTGTAGTTGGAAAAAGGGAATGTGCTTTCTTTGTTCTCAGTTGAAATGGATCTCTAATTGATAGCTGGGTGGCAGAGATTTTTGAGCAGAGCTGCTCATGGCAGGCTGTGCTGGTTGTCTCATCCAGTTCTAGTCTCAGCATAAATATTCAGTGGTCCAACTCAGTATTAGTCAGGTGCAACTCATTTTGGAAGAAGGATGTAGAGAGAATCTGTGTGGTCACACTGACCAGTACAGTGCAGACTAGAACCCCTTGTCAGACTGATATTTCACACACCCACGTTTCATTAAAGGGACAGGTTCCACTGTGAAAACTATACATAGCTATAACATTTCCTTCCTTCCTTCCTTCTTTCCTTCCTTCCTTCCTTCCTTCCTTCCTTCCTTCCTTCCTTCCTTCCTTCCGTTTTGCCTCCCTTCCTTCTCTCATTCATTCATTCATTCATTCATCCATTCAGTGCTACCGTGGGCAGTTTTGGTCCTTCACACCAGTTTTCATGGCTTTGATGCTAATGGCTGGTATTTATTTCCTTGTTTAGAGAATTTTTCTTGAGCTATGGGAACTGAAAGGGGAGAGCGCCTGGGAATTTGGGTCCTCCAGGGCCACCAGCAACTGCCTGGGGAGGGAGTATGAAGGCTCCCTTGGCTGTGAGTGACATTAACTCTGAGTAAAATGTATACAGGCTGGGCCTCCACTCAGGAACAGGTTGAGGCTAGAACCTGGCTGCATCCTTTGTTTCTTTCTATCTGCATAGTAAATCTTGCCTTAGAGTCTGCTTAGAGACCCTAAGACATGCTTGCTTTCTTTTATAAAAAATATTTACTACCTGCTAAATGTCAAGCTTCATTGCAGATGCTGAAGGTACATTTTCTGTCTTTAAAGGTTTTTCATTCTAGGGACAGACAGACAAGCCATTGACACATGATGATAATAAATGCTGTAGTCAAATAAATACCAGGGTTTGGGGGACAGAGTGAGGGTGGTGATAGCGTTATTTGAAGTAAGGTACTCAGAGAAGATCTTTAAAAAGGTGTCATTTGATCAGCATGGGAATTTTGACATCCTCTGTTTCTGTTCTGGGCTAATTTGTCCCTCTTTAGGCAACCTGGTGGTTCTGCTCCCAGAAGTCACCATATTAATGCTGAATTCAGTGTGAACCTGATCCGCATAGTGCCCTGCAGCCCAGAGCTCTTGGAATCAAGTGATCTTCCTACCTGAGCTTCCTGAGTAGCTGGGACTACAGGTGCATTACTATGCCTGGTAAAAGAGGGCGTTTGGACAGAGATCTCCTTTGCAGTAGGGAGTGGGGGTGTTTGGATGTTAAGGGACTAGAAACAGGTTATGTACAGATCTTGAGGCAGGAAAGTTCTTAGTGTGGTTGGGAATCAGATGGAACCAGTATGGGTGGCATGGGGCATAGAAGGGAGAGTGGTGGAGACTGGTTCTAGGGATCAGGAAGGAGGAGCTGGTGTCAGATCCATCAGATCCCATAGTTCACTGTAGTGACTGTAGCTTTTCCTCTGCGTGGGTTGGGAATGCCTTGCAATTTGAGCAGAAGAGAAGGGTAATTTGAAGTTTCCCAGGCTAGCCTTGAACTTACAGTCTTCCTACTTAGTCTCCTGAGTAGCTGGAATGCAGGCTTATGCCACCTTGCTTAGCTTGGTTTTCATTTCAAAAGATTATCTTGGTTGCTGTGTTGATAACAAATTGCAAGGAACAGGGAGAAAGCAGGGAGGAGATAAATAAAGTCTTCTGAGCAAGAATCTCAGAAATCATGGTGACAGTGTGTGCAGTGGAGATAAGTGTCATATTATGGATACATGTTTTCAAGGTACATCTTAGGGCTAGACATGTGGGGAAAGACTTGTCTTTTGACACTAGTTTTTTTCTTTTTTCCCTAAGCAATTTGAAGAATGGATCATTGACTGAGAGAGTGAAGACTGAAAAGCAAGTCAGTATGTTCCCTGTATTTCTGTGATTTAAATTCAGTATTCTTTAAAAAAAATTGCCATTAGGTGATGCTACACTGATCTAAAGGTAAACAGCATAAAGAAAAAGATTGATTTGGCTATGTAAACATCTAGAACTTCTATATGTGTGAACAACTTGCAAAATAAGTGGAAACTTTAAAAAGCATTTTAAACCTACTTGATAAATGATTTACATCCTTACAATGTACTCTTAGGAATCAAAGAAAAAAGAAATGCATTTTCAAAAGAAAAAAATGGGATAAAACAAATGGCAGTTTAGACATATACATGGCAAAAGACAAAGCCTTAGATGAAGTAAATGCAAAATAAAAATGGGATAATTTTTACCTATTAAGATTCTAAAATTTCATTATACACAGTGTTAGTGAAAATTCAGAGAAACAAAATATTTCAACATTGAAGTCTGGAAATGCACAATCCTTTTGCAGCTACTTCACTTCTAGAAATTTAAGGAAAAATACAGTTGACTCCTGTATCTGTGGATTCTGCATTCACAGACTGATCAGCTGTGAATTAATAATATTAAAAACTGAGTCTGTATTAAAAATATACAGACCTTTCTTCTTGTCATTATTGTCTAAAGAACATAGTATTACAGTAATTTACATAGAGTTTGCAATATGTTAGATAATATAACTAATCTAGAGGTAATTTAAAGTATACAAGAGGAAATACACAGGTTATGTGACAATACTATGCCATTTGGTATGAAAGACTTGAACATCTTCAGATTTTGGTTCTGCAGAGGTTCCTGAAACCACCCCTCATAAATCCTGTGGGACAAGTGTGTGAAATATGCCAAAAATCAGGATGCATCTAAAGAATAAAATTTAAGTAGTCATAAGAATCTAATCTATAAAACAGATTGTATAGACTATAGAAAAAGATGTAGGAAATAGGTTAAGTGTTAATAGCCTATGATGAGTTTGGCAGATTATGGACTATTTTTATTTGCTTCTTTGAACATTTAGTATTTTCAGGACATTTATTTTCCTTTACCAGAAAAAATCCTTTAATAAACATTCTTAGGAAAAAACCTCGGCCTTCTTTATGTCTCTTGCCTTGTATCCAGTTAATGCCCTCCCCCCCCTGCCCTATTTTAGGACTTGATGGATCTGCTTAGTGCAACTGGTTGTCTTTCACTCAACCTTATAGAATTCCTTTACTAAAGTACACAAACTGTCTCTTTTTCCCTTCTGCTACAGATGATTTTGTTTCCACTTTTTTTTAACCACCGTCCACTATAGACGCTCAAAAGGCTGCGTGGTGTTCCACCAATCAGATACATCTGATGTACAGGCCTTTGGCTTGGAAGGTAAAGACACATGAAAGCAGCGATCACAAGGAATCCAGCTGTGGGCGAGCGCTGGCCCACCAGCACTCTCAGAGGCAGCAGCAGTGGTCCGCAGGACCCTGGCTGACTGTCCCTGGTGGTGTCCGTGGCAGTTCCAGCCCTGATGTTCGACATGCTTGCTGTTGGTTGTGTGAGCCAAATGAAATGCACAGCAGTGGCAACGCTGGTGTTTTCTTGACAACCTGCAGAGCAGTGAGATTGAGGACTTTCTTTCTGGCAGTGTGGCTTGAGTCATGTTCTTTAGTCCTGCTGGAGATTGTGTGAGCCACTAACTGTCTTTTAATGAATTCTTTTTCTATGTACATTAACCAGGGTTGATGAATGTATTTAGCAAATAAAATCTCTGATGGATGTACGTAACTCCCACTCTCTGGTATCGCCTTTCTCAAAACCTCATCGTTTGAGGGCATTTTCTTTCATCTCCAGTTGTGGGGGAGAGTTTTTTTTTGCCAAATAATGGATGACTGCCATAGTAGTCCAAATAATGGACTACTCTCCTCAGCAACACTTCTTTTGACCCGAACAGTACTCACGTAAGCTCATCACTACTGGTAGCTGACATCCAGGGTCACTTCTGTGTCCAGCTCCTTGCTTTTATTCTTCAAAACCGCTACATTCGCTTTGGTGACTCACTGTAGATTTCTCAGCTTCAATAACCTTAGTTAGGAAATGGCTTTGAATGCAACGAGAATAGACTGAGATGGAAGAGACAAACCTTCCTTTGAAATGTAATGAGTCTGTCTATAAACTAACGCTCCTCCAGGTGTCAATGTTATAACTCAAACAGAAGAAGCTAAAAATAGAGAAAAAAATGCTTGGAAGGGGAATTTAGAAACTGGACATTGGCATTTAACACCTGAGTTCCCAATCATATCAAAGAGAGATGCGTTAATTCATGCAGCAATACACCGGAAGGGCAGAAGCAGTTTATTATAACAATAAAAATAGATAGCATTTATTATTTTATTATACTCTGAAAATTTTAGTAATAAATCCCTTAGAAACTCCAGGTGAAACTATATGTTGTTTGGGTGGCAAGAGAACAAGTTTCAAGAACATGCTGTCTTGTTGTGAAGAAGGGAAACAAGTAGAAAAACCAATAAAGGGAGAATGCACCTATGAAGGTAAACGGAATCAGCCTCAAGTTCAAAGTGGGGCCTGCAGCGCGCATGGGCAGTAGGGCTTTTTATACCCTAACTCTGTCCTTCCAGCCAATCACTGGCACGTTCCCGCTGTGGACTTTTTTTTTTTTTTTTTGTCTTTTTCCTTTTTATCGGTACCAGGGATTGAACTCACAACTGCCTGCTTACAAGGCAGGCGCTTATGCCGCTGAGCTAAATCCCCAGCCCCCTACACTTATGTTTCTAATTTTTTAAATAAAATGGCATCATATTACATATATTGGTTTTTTTCCCCTTAAGAATATCTCGCTGGCATGTTTTGATGTCATTATATATAAAGCACTTTATTCTTTTTTTTTGAATTGCTACATAGAATTTCACTGTATGAATGTATGTACATTAATTTATTTTCCTAATTTTGTGTATATTGGTATTCTTTTTTTGCTACTTCAAACAATGCTGCAATATAATCTTGTACATATATCTTTTTGCACCTGTTTTTCTGTAAGATAATTTCCTAGTAGAGGAATTGCTAGTTTAAAGAGCTGCACATTTTAAAAATGCAGATACATATTGCTAATTGCTCTCCAAAAAAAGTTATAGTAATTTACACTGCAAATTTGAATGATAGTGTAGATCTGCTCTAAATCAGTATGAACCTTACCTGTACTCTCACTATACCATAATTCCTAGTACTTAGTTTTTGTTAATTCTCTACTTTACTGCCTAATTAACATGCCTAAAACTCCTGAGACTCGTAACTTAATCCCATGTTTCTGAATCTCAGGAAATAATCTTAACTTCTCTTTGCCATCTCCAATGTGATGACCTTTCATCCTCTTGCTTGTTGCCCCATCGATCTAGAGATTGCTACTCTAACTCCATAAATTATACTATGTGAAGGGGAAAGAAGGAAGGATGGTACCTGCTGCATCTATCTTTCTTATCAGAAAACCAAAGCCTTCTTTTAAGGCTTTGGTAAACTTTTCCTTACATTCTCATGGTCATAACTCAGTGTGAGTCAGCTTTGCATTACAGTTACACATGATTTGGTCACAATTTTGGAGCTCTCAGCCTACTTGGGTCCACGGCTTTTCATACTTTGGTTGGGGGTAGGGCAGTACATCACGGTGGGAGCCTATGGCTTGGCAAAGCTGTTTGCCTCCTGGCTAGAATATGAGAGAGAGAGAGAGAGAGAGACAGACAGACAGACAGACAGACAGACAGACAGACACAGACACAGACAGACACAGAGATAGAGTCAGAGAATGCCTCCAATGACCTAACCCAATTTTTCCAGGCTCGACCTCCTAAAGTTTCTAACTAAGCCTTTAACACATGGGTGTTTAGGGAACATTCTAGAGCCAAAATATGACCCTCAGTCCTATAGCCATTTCTAGCTGCAAAGAGAAAAGGGACATGAGGATACTGGTTTCTGGTAGAGTGAAGCAAGATATAACAAATATGTGTACCAATATGGATTTAATGTTTGAGCCTAGACATGCCACCACCTAGAACAAAATAAAGATTCAATTATTATGAAAGGGAAGCAGGATATTGAGTAGCAACACAATGTTTGCATATATATCTGCCACAATATATATTCATTGAATGTATGGTTTAAGAACAGGGTCAGCAACCCCCACTACACTCTTAAATGAATGTAAACCCCTGATTTGTAAATTAAAGTTAGAATTTGTTTCTAAATTTCAAATGCTGGATATCTGCACCCAGACCTGAACTTTATCCTGATGGAGACCACAGATACATGTACTGTGAGTGAGATTTTGTTCTCATTTGGAGTCACACTGAATTTGTCATTTTTCAGGGACCGATGTAGAATTAATAGACTAATTAATTAATTTTTTTCATGGCATTAATTTAAATAGTAAGATTTACTTTATAATAATGCTCTTGTATGTTTGTGAGGTAAAAATCCAATCATATCATCCAAGTACTTTCTAGATTACAGTAATTTTTTATTTTGGTACCAGAGAGAACTCACCATCTCACGTTTGCGTCGCAGGCACTTACACTGCTGAGCTAAACTCCTGGCCCTAGATTACAGTAAACTTTAAAACTTTTCAGAACTGAGAAATCAGAGGCGAGGCACATACCAACAGCTCCTGTGAAGGGGTGAAGACAGTGGCAGTGCGTTTCTGTGGGTTTGGATCTGGAACGGGCAGCACCAGCGATGCCGACAGGGCCATGGTAGGGCTTGCAGCCGAGGATAACTATGAGAGGAGAAAATGATCATGGTAAGAGGAAGGGGCGAGGGCAAAGCGGGGAGACAAGGTCCTGTGGGCAGCGTGCCGAGAGCGCTCTCACTGTCCTGGCCCTTCACCCCGGGGCTGGTCAGCTGGTGGTCTGTGTCACCTTCCGTCAGGAAGACCAGGGGCCTGTGGGCCTGAGGACAGCTCCTGTCCTGGGGCAGGCACTTAGGCTTGCAGAATCGCTCATTTCAAGCAGCTACGGCTTTGATCTATGCTTTACGATTACAATTCACCTAGTCAGTTCATTCTAGAGATGCAATTAAAACAAGAATGAGATTCTATCTCACTCCAGAAAGAATGGCTATCATAAAAAAAATCAACCAATAATCAACCAATAATTCTTCTGGGGATGTGGGGAGAAAGGAACCCGTCTCCATTGCTGGTGGGAGTGCAGACTGGTACAGACTTTGGGAATCAGTGTGGAGATTCCTCAAAAAACTAGGATTAGAGGTTCCATTTGACCCAGTTACTCCCCTTCTGAGAATTTTCCCAGAAGAATTAAAAACATCATACCTCAGTGATATACGTACACCCCATGTTTAAAGCAGCACAATTTGTGATCGCTGAGTCTTGGCAGCAACCCAGATGCCTATCAAGTGAAGAATGGATGAAAAAAGATGTGGTATTTTTGTACAATGGAGTACTACTCAGCCATAAAGAAGGATAAAGTTGAGACTTTTATAGGTAAATGGATGCAATACAAATTGGAGAAATATTTATGCCCATATGTTATACTTTAAAGATAACAACATGTAATATATTAATAATTGTGATTCTATTATTTTGTAATGAAATTTTATTGTATCTTTTTATCTATAAAATTAAAAAAAATTTACCTAGCGAATCCTGAGGGCACATTTGGTGAATTTTTCATATGAATGCAACCTTGGGAATCACACTCAGATTAGAAATGTATCAACTCTTTTTTTTTTTTTTTTGCATGTCAGAGTCAAACTGAGGTCCTCATGCTTGCCCGGCAGTTGGGGCTAATTCTTCTGAGTATGAGACTCACAATGAAGTTCAACAGGTTAAGGGAAGCGAGCTGAAGCCTTTTTATTGTTAAAAATCCCTTTGGTCACCATAGTTTAACTCATATCCTTGAAGGCCTAAAGCGGGTAGGCAGTTGAAATGAATGAGACTGATCAGGTAAAAACTGACAAGTTTCAAATGTAAGTGATGTTGACCTTCCAATATTGTGCTGTTTAAACACCTTAAATGAACAACTGTGTAGCTCAGTTTATTTTTTGTGTATTAGGATATTTCCATTTCCATGCCATATATTTCAAGAGGTAGACTTACTAGATAAAAAGTAAACTTATTTCTAAATTTATATACACTGTCAAATTTATTCACCCACACGTGACTGAGAGCTGAGCATGGTGGCTTGTGCCTATAATCCCAAGCACTCGGCGAGCTGAGGCAGGAAGATCACAACTCTGAGGCCAGCCTAGGCCGGCTAGAGATGTAGCTCGGTGTGAAGAAGGCCCGGGGTTCAATCTACAATCCTGAAAAAAAAAAAAAAAAGAAAGGGCGTGGGGGAGAAAGGACCCGTGGCAGCCACCAGCACGTGCCTCTCAGTCCTCCAAACACTGAGAGCATGGCTGCAGGAGGCGCAGCCAGCCTTTCCTTCCCTCCCTGCACCTGGCTGGGTGTCAGGACACTAAGGCGCCCGCGCAGAGGACACGGGGTCCTCGGGCTGCCCGGGCTGCGGTGGTCCTCCCGTGGGCCTGCGGCCTCCGGAGGCTGTCTCGGGCAGCCCTCCCTCCGCTGTGAGGGCCCCGCATGGTTGCCGATGGCCCTCAGCCGTCCTCGGGCTTCTCCACCCTGATTCTCAGTGGACACGGCTTTCTCGCAGGTGGGGTCCGGATTTAGTACCTGCTTCTCCAAAGACCCAGGTGCTCAGTGTTTCATTTGCTTGTCTTTATTTCCCCAAGTAATTGACAAAGAGTATTTTACTTCAT